AAATTCTTTGTCTATATATTGCAAATGAAGCTTGGTGATATAGATTTTGAGGATTTAGAAATAGAGATAAAACGATTTGTCATAGTAAAGAAGAAGAAAAAAAATCCCTCAAAGAAGAGCTGAAAGAAACTTATTCTAATCTAGTTGTTGCGTTACGAATCATTCTTACTTTACCAGTTATTGTTGCAAGTGTAGAACATATCTTTAGCAAGTTAAAACTAATTAAAACTTTTCATAGGTTAGTATAAATAATCTTGCTTCATTATACATAAATACATTTAGCTATATTTCTTTGTATCTTTAAATAGGTCAATAATGGTCGATGAACATTTGTTTTCTTTAGCAACGCTGTCGATTAAAATCGAGGTTGCAAGGAAATTAAGTTATGAAGGCATAATAAATGAGTTTGCAAGCATGAAAACACGTCGCAAAATCTTTTTTTAATGGATTGCGACGTACTTGTGTTAACTGCGTAATACATTAACAGTATTTAAAAAAACTCTTTACTAGTAAACTCTATATCAATTTAACAACTATAAAATATATTTAATTTAATTTAAGCGTTAATTTGATTGTTTTTAGTCTTATGAACGGCGACGTTAAAATATGTTAGGTACCCTGTTTTTCGGGGTGATCTGTAAATTTTATCCACTTTTTAAAATTAAAAAAAAAAAAAATTGGGGTCCAAATGGCTAGTTTTTTTTTTTTTGGGGGGGGGGGGGGCAGACCAATATGCTACGGCACTGGTGTTTTGTAATTGTATTGTAAGTGAGTTTCTGCTAATTTATATACATATATATATACATATTGTTAATATACTTAGGTATTGTACGTAATAATTTTAATAGGCTTTAATAAGTATTTACAATTGTACAAACAGTATGTTTAACTGTATATAATTTGTTCCAGATAACACATTCTTACATATATGTAAGAATGTATTAGGCAAATATTTTGTTTAGTTAAGTTTACACTATGGCAACAGTATGATGAGTACTTACATAAATGAAATATGTACTACAATTAGTACTTACATAAATGATAACACGTATTATACTAATTAATTATACAAAATATTTGCATAATACATAAATAGAACACCAATAATTATGATTTTTTAAAACATTAAAATTGGAGGATAAAATAAACCATACAAAGAAGAATATTAATTAATCATTTATTTCACTTTATAAAGTAAATACAAAGTTAGGATCAGTCTCAAACAGTTATTTAACTGACAAAAGCGTGACGACCTACAAATATTCAATATAAATTTGACAAAATGTTTAACTAGTACATGAATAATATCAGGTAATATTATAATAATAGTAATAATAGTATTATAATAACAAAAAACAAAAACAAAAAAACAAAAAAAAACCTTAAAAATAATTAAAAAACAAAAAAAACACTTGGAAAAAAAAAGAAGCTAAAAATAAAGAATAACAGGCTTTTAAATAGAACGATAACAATACAGTAACAAGAACATCAGCAATAGCATGTTATTTAGAAAAGAAGCAAAAACAACTTGAATTTTACAGGTACAAAGAATAAGGTCAAAACGACATAAAAAGCAATTATTGAGATACATAACACAGCAGAAGCTTTACTTATTATTTTTATCTTGGATAAATTCCTAGACTTTGTTGATGAAAAAAGCTCTACTTCCTTTTTTTAGAAGTATTGTGTTGATTCAGAGGGAAGATAATTCCATGATTTAATGGATTTATATTTAATTGAATTAATGCCATATATAAGTGTTTGCTTCAAAGGTATTACAAGATTGTTACATGATGCTGATTTAAGTTAATGGCAATGACTTTTATTAACAAATTTATCATGCTCGGAAGAATTTCCGCAAACCCGTCAAAGCAGCCCAAAACAATAGGCTATATCAGCAATACATAAAAATTGAAAAACTTAAAAAATCTAACCCAAAAAAACTTCTGGAATACTTTTAGAAGTATGAAAAAGGATTCAAATTCAAAACTTTTTACTATAAATAATAATAAAGATAAAGAATCCATTACCGCAGAGTTTGCTACTATTTTTAAAAAAAGGTTAAACACTGAGAGAATAACTGATCGAGTTACTAATCTTCGAATTCCACCTTGCAAAAATCCTGATGAGATTATAATTACTAATGAAAATATTAAAACAGCTATTTCATGTCTAAGATCAAATAAGTGCAAGGATCATTACAATATCTCTGCAGAACATTTAACACATGCCCAATGTGAAGCACTAACACAATGGTTAAGAAAGTTATTTCACTTTTCAATTAATCACGGATGGACCCCTACATCAATGTCAACATCAACTATCATACCTCTAGTTAAATTCTATAAAAAATCACTTACCGATCCAAACAATTACCGTGGTATCAGCATTATTTCAATATTTACTAAACTCTTAGAATACCTTATCTTACTCATATGCCCGGAGATAAAAGAAACTCATCAACTTCAATTTGGTTTTAATAATAAGAGCTCAACCCTCCATGCTGAATTTGTTGTAAGCGAAACAATTAAGTATTATAATCGCAACAACTCGCCTGTTTATTTATTTTCACTAGATGCTGAAAAGGCTTTTGACAGCTGCAACTAGGATGTTCTTTTTAAAAAACTTTATTTTGATAAAAATCTACCTCTCCAAATAGTTAACACTTTATCTTCTTTATACCGTAGCGGCAGTGCAACTGTCTCATATCTAGGTTGCGAATCAGTCTCATTTGATCTTAAGCAAGGAGTGAAACAAGGATCGATTTTCTCACTCTACCTATATAACATGTACACTGAGAAGCTACTCGAAACTATAAAAAATGATGAAATTGTTGGTACTACTATATATGGAAACTTGACTGTGTTGTAGCTTATGCTGACAACATCATTCTTCTCAAAAACTTATTTCAACGTGTAGCATATACAACAATTTAAACGGGATAAAACTTAATGCTGTCAAAACGGAACTTTTGCTCTTTGGAAAAAGGAAAATAATGAACTGCACAGTATCTCTAGACAACCATCAAATTATAATTCGTGAGAAACTTAATCATCTCGGCTTTACTTGAGATACAAAAAAAAACAATTTTTGCTTCACTAAATAGAATGAATATTGATAGTAGGTATCAAATTTCCGGGCAAAAGTGCAAACTCTTATTCAATCTGGAATCCGGTTTGCACATCCAAGTTCTATTATCCAATTATATAAATTATTAGCAGTTCCGACGTTAACCCACGGTCTAGAGCTCTGTGAAAATGAAGATGCAACAATGAAAAGACTCAACACATTTGGAAGGAACGCAGTTAAATCAATTTTTAATGTCTCCAAGTATAGTAAAAACTATATAACACTCTCTATTTAAAATTAAGTAGATGTCAAATTATATACACCAAAACAAAATAAATCTATTTATCCGCCTTTCAAACAATAAAGTAACCTTTGAAATCATTAACTCCCAACTTAACTACTGTTTAGCTAAATTTTCTTTTTTAGATGATATAAAAGAATTATGTGATAATCATAAATTGAATATGAAAACCTTAATGCTGGTTAAAAAAAAAGTAAAACTTAAAGTCTTAGAGGATGTAATTTCTGAAGCTACTCTTCATATTTTGGTACACGCGGTTCAATGTTGGAAAGTAAAAGAACAGCGAACAATTTTTAAAAAGACTCTTGAAGAAAACATCTTTTTTCTTAGTTTGCGTTTTTACCTTGTAAATTTATTTTACAGAAGTTGATTAATAAAATATTAATAATAATAACTATTGAAGCTTGTTGGTAAGCTATTATGCAAACTGTCCCATACAAGTGTGCAGTTCAGTAGGAGTATTAGATCTTTTAGATTAATAATTTTTGAGAGATTGTAGAGGATTTTAGAGTCATATCTATTAGATTGGAAATGAACTATTTTGAGTGATTTGTTTTAGAGGATTTCTATGATCTTTTTATACTTACACTGATTTTGACCCCATATCTAACACAGCCTTTTGCTTGATCTTTATTTACATCTTTAACCAAATGATACAGCAACATACAAACTTAAGTAGGGTTCTAAACCAAATATTTATATAAAGTTCCCTGACTTTTTTGAAAAATCAAATGAATTTTCCCGATGATTTTTACAAAATGTTTAAAATTGCTATCTACTGTAATGGAAATGCTAAAATTGTACATGCTTTGAATGACAAAACTTAGCTATTAGTTAAGTTGGATATTAGTATGGAATTATTATTCATGTTAGTATGGATCTTATTGTTAAGGATGACTAAGGATGAACATTAAGAAAAACATAAGTTTCAGAAAAAATAAATGGGTAGCACCAACAAAAACATATTAGCTTAATTGTGTAACGAATAACATCACCAACACACAAACCATAACAAAAGATAAAAGCAAGATGCGAACTATAATTTATTAAAATAATAAAAAATCGTACAATAAATAAAACCAACTTCTAATAAAATCTATAATAAATAAATTCTATATTAAAACAAAATTTACATATAATTTAACATTTAAAAATTTTTTTATGTCAATACGAATATTAAATAAATTATAAACAACACAAGCTAATAGCAATAAAAAATTATAAAAAAAAAAGAACTTATCGGACTTTTTCATTATCATCTTGATTATTTTTAGGTAAGGTTTTAATTTTTGCTAGCATTTTTGAATGTTTTAATTTAATTTTTGTAACATTTTTAGCAAATGACTTTGAAATAAAAATATCTTAGTCAAAATTGAACGGATAAATAATACAATAAGCAATAAATTAAAAAAAATCATAAAATATACGAAAAATGAAACAAAAATCAACTATTTTAAGAAATGAAAAGTTTTGAGAAAAGTTTTGATTTTTTAAAAACTTTATGCCGTTCATGTATACAAGAAAAATAAGTTTTATTTAGTTCATTACTAGCACTTAAAAATATGTTGAAACGTTTCAATATATATTTACTAAAACATAAATTAAAAACAAAACAAAAATCTTTTTTTAATTTCAAGTTTCCATAGCAACCTAGAATTAATAGTAAGTTTCTTGTTCAACCCAACCTAAAAGTAAAAAGAAATGTATATTAAATAAATGTATATTAAAAATGTATATTAAATAAAAAAGTGATAAATATAAAAATTGTAACGTGAAAACTTTTCAGAAAATATCAAAACCACACCTCCAGGGTACTTGCGTAAAAGGTATCTCCTAATTTCATCGTAAACAAAAATTAATAAGCTGAACGGAAGACCAGGTAACCACCAAGTAAAATTCATAGGACGAAGACGTAGACCGATATTTACACCAGGAGTGTACTGAAGAAACACTGCAAGAGCAGTTTCGAAGAACAGTCCAAAGTTTAGAAACCAGTTTCTGAATAAAATTTTAGAGAAAAAAATGTTGACAACTTCTGGCTTATTATAAATATTAAAAATGTAATATAAAAAACTTTGTTAAAAAATATGTTAAATATAATTAAAATATGTGTTAAATAGTAGCATACGTCATTCCTTGTTGAAAAAGTGAAAGTCGTCGTGTTTTACTAATAATCAAATCAGCCCACTGTACCACCACAATAGTGGCAAAAAAAGCAGTCTGGCAAGTTAATTCTAACTCTCTGCGCTGAACAAATGACCACTCGCTGCCATAAGAGTCTACAAGGTTGTTAATAGACTGATTATCCCATTGACTTCTAAGTCCAAACAAATAAGACGGCAAAAATCCATTTTCACCCAAAATGACAAAATAAGTAAAGAACCCTGCAGTTGCCTTTTTAAAAATTCAACATTTAAAAATTGTATAAAAAATTATTTCAAAAAAACAGAAAAGAAAAATCCTTTAAAAATCAAAATAAACAAATATAAAATATTCACCTGAATCATACCAATTTGCCCATATGCTAAACTAATAAGCCGCTCATTAACAAGCTTATCTCGATTTGGATCACGCGGCTTTCGTTTCATAATATCAGTTTCTGCCTTTTCGTATGCCAAGGATATAGCTGGAACTAAATCTGTACCAAGATCAATACACAAGATTGTAATAGTACCAAGGGGAAGGGGGATGCCACATAAAATAAACATAAGAAACGGTGAGATTTCCGGTATGTTACTGGTAAGAGTATAAGCAATTGATTTCTTTAAGTTGTCAAATATTAGTCTTCCTTCCTCCACTCCAGTAACAATTGAAGCAAAGTTATCATCTAACAGAATCATATCAGCAGCTTGTTTAGATACGTCAGACCCAGCAATACCCATTGCAACACCTTTATAAAAAGATTTAAACATTAAGATTTAAAACTTTTGATAGTTTTTTAAATTAAAAATTAATTTAATTTAAAATTAAATAAAGTTATAAATATATTAAAAAAAAACTTATACCAATATCAGCCTTTTTTAATGCAGGTGAATCATTGACACCATCACCAGTGACAGCAACTATTGCACCAAGGCGTTGACATCCTTCAACAATAATTAACTTTTGTTGAGGTGATGTTCGGGCAAATACTATTTCAGTGTGGTGCCGTAAAACCTCATCCAGTTCATGTGACTCCATTTCTTTTAACTTAGCTATTGAAATAAATATAGTTTAACTTCAAAATTAAAAATTTTTAAACCCATTTTATAACTAAGATATAGATAATTTATTTTAAAATTTTAAAACCCATTTTATAATTAAGATATACTAAATAATAATTAAGATATAGATAATACGTTTAAAAAGAATGAAATAAAATAGATGATAACTGAAGGCCATCAACCGTGTAAAATCAATAAAAAAAAACACATACCACCATTGATAACACAGGCTTTAGCTTGATCTTTATTTACATCTTTTACGGCTATGTTTAACCGCTGAGCTATATCTTCTACACATTCATTACCTTCTGAAATGATTCCAACACCTTTTGCAATTGCTTTTGCTGTAATTGGATGATCACCAGTTACCATGATGACTTTTATACCTGAATTAAAAATATATTAACAAAATTAAATGTTTCTATTTGTCTTACGTGTGTAGTTATAAATAATTTGCAAGCATTTAACATAAATCACAAGCTTTGAAAAAGCTTTTTTATGTAAAAAAATATTTTTTGTATGTAGCAAACTCACATTAAACTTGACTCACAATATTATGAATTGAAATTCATAACAATTTTTTATTTTAGCTTATAAGTAAGATGTTTAACTTTTATTTCTATAATTTTATTTTATTGTTTATTTTTTTTTTTTTTTTTTGTATTTTAATATTAATCTCATATCATTCTGTAGTTTATTATGTAGCTTTTCAGAACCAATTTTAAAATAACTTTCTTTTAGCAGAAGTTGCATAGTTATTAGGATAATATATCATACCAAGTAGTGCTATAAATTTGATACTACCATTTATTCTTGTCATAAGAAGCCAACAATCTCTGATTGTTTGGAGGGGGCATTTGAGCTTGAAAAGGATCTCACTCCTGCTACAGCATGGAGCTCACAGTGGCTGGTGAATTTTAATTCAGATAAAACTCAATTTTTTTCAGCCAATCATTATCGCAATAATTTAGATCTTCCTATATTTATGAATGGTAATGTACTTGATGAGTCATCTACCCTTCATCTTCTAAGATAAACTCTTACTTACGATCTTTCTTGGAAACCATATATCAAGTCCGTTGCAAAATTAGCATCTGCTAAGGTTGCAACTCTTTATCAAGCTCAACACTTTCTTACTCCAGATTCTATTCTCTATCTCTATAAATCTCAAATCCGGCCTTGTATGGAATACTGTTGCCATATCTGGGGCTGATCTTCTAATGATGCCCTTTCTCTTTTAGACAAGGTGAAAAAACACATTGTAAACATGCTCTTGCAGCCAACCTCCAACCACTATCACATTGTTGTAATGTTGCTTCTCTTTCTTATTTTTAGAAATACTATAATGGGCACTGCTTATCATTCAATTAAGTCTCATCCATTTTTTGTGACTGTTCCTAAGTGCTCCAAAAACTCTTATTCGTCTAGTTTTTTTTCTCGAACATCAGTTCTTTGGAATTCGCTTCCTTCATCTTGCTTTCCTGATTCATATAATTTGCAATCCTTTAAATCGCCTGTCAATCATTATCTTTTCTCTTCCAGTAATTTCCAACTCTAATTAGTGGTTACTTGCAGCCTTGTTGGAAGCAAAGATGAGAAAAAAATATACATATACATATACACACACAACTCGTTATATTGTTATAATTATATATATATATATATATATATATATATATATATATATATATATATATATATATATATATATATATATATATATATATATATATATATATATATAATTATAACAATGTAACGAGTTGTAAGATGTGAAAAGGAGGAATTTCTTTTAAAGCTTGCATTTTGATGTAATTTTACTTTTCTCATTTAATAAATGATTGTCATTGTATGAAATTATTTCACATTTTTCATATAAATGCTTAATTTACAGGTTTGGTTGTTAGGTTGTATGGTTCTCATTGTCTAATTATTTTCCAACTAACCACAGGATATTTATTATCGTAATTTAATTTGCAAACTCTTTTTGACAGTTCTGTATATATATATCAAACGATTTTATATGGTTGACATTTGTCAGTTTAAAGAGAGTTTTACTCATGTAATTTTTTGATTAAGTTACCTGAAGTGTCAGTTGTTTGGTATACAATGTTGTTGGTCAAGCAATTATTGAGTAAAGGGCAAGTATTTTTTATCAAAACAGTTGCATTTAATTTTATTGATGTTTGGATTTTTGTTTAGGAAGCACTTGTTGTGTGAATTAATTACTGATATCATGTTTAGCATGCAACTGAAGCTTATTTTTACAGTGTAATTGTAAAAAATTGTATGCCGTTTGGGATTAGTAAGCAAATGTAATCAAATTTAAATTCACATAACCTTAAGATTAATCTTTTACCACCAGTTTTCAATATTTTCAATAGTTTTTCACCATAAATAAACTAAATGATTTACAGTTTTCATTTTTACTTCCTTTTTTTGGCTAAACAAAAGAAGAGAAAAAAAGAAAAAAAAGATTTCTTTTGATTTTCTTTCAATTTAAACTGCCCATTGTAATATTTCAAACTGTCCATTGTAATATTTCAAACTGCCCATTGTAATATTTCAAACTGTCCATTGTAATATTTCAAACTGCCCATTCTAATATTTTAAACTGTTCATTGTAATATTTTAATCTGTCCATTGGAATATTTAATATTATCATATAAACCTTTGGTATATTATATAAACCTATTTTCCTGCGGTATATTATATAAACCTATTTTCCTTGTCACCATAAGAAACCTTGTTTCTTATGGTGACAAACCAGCCGACAATCTATATTTTTTTATTACATAGTTGCTAAACAATTGTCTCCTCGAATCCCATGTACTGACAACCAAAAAATACATCCTTGTCACAGCTGATGTTATATTATTGTATACAACTTTCCTCACTGCAAAGGTATTGATGCAGCAAAAATTTATTTTAAGAGAGCAATGCTTGCCATAAAGAAATTATAAAAATTATAAGTAACATGTTGTCAAATAACAGGAGGAACTATAAGTAACAAGTAAAAATAGTAACATGCTGTGAGAATTTGACTTGAATTTAGGTAATATTATATATCCTGGAACTAACGCTACTCTTAGTATGCCACTCACACTTAATCTTCTTGGAATTGGTTGGTTTGCCTTTTTTGTGGCTTTATTTACTACTGCTGATTAAAAATAAATTTTGATATTCAAAAGGTTATCAATAAAGCAGAACTATTTGCAATGAATTTTTTCCACCACTTATTTACTTGAATCTAATAACTGCACTTATAACCTAGAAAAACAAATTCATTGTTAAACATTCTAACCACTCTTTGTTGATTAAAACAATATATCACTTAAACTCTTCTATATCCTGTGTCAAACTTCTCATGTTCTTGAATCTCTATATTCTTGATATTCTTGACAATCTTCAGTTTAAAGTAGTTAATAATATAACAATATACACCACTCTCCATTTTGATTGCTAAAAGTTTGATTTCATAACTTTGATTACTTAAAACAGAAAGCAGATCAGATGAAAATATTCTTACTAAATCCTCTATTATTTATCTTATTATCTAAAGATAACCCTTTATTCTAGCAAATAATGTGTTATCTTTATAATAATTCAGTATTATCCTCTCAAAGAAACTATACATCAGATCCACTGCAAATTTAACATCTGCCTTTTTTTGTTGTGCTCACTGTTTTCTTGATCCTGATTCCTTCCTCTATAAATCTCTTATTTATCTATTATTGTCATATTTGGCATGGATTTTTAAATGATGCTTTACCTCAAAAACGCATTGTAAATTTTCAGTCAGTAGACTGTAATAAAATTAGAAATATGCATGAAATTCCTGACAGAGTAACTTTGTTGCTAGAAAATAACCAAAAAGAACCTGAACATAAAAAAATTTTAGTTCAGAAATGTTGCAAAAGATAAACAAAGATATTACTGCGTTAATAAATGATGGAATGTTCATTTTTTATCTGAAACAAAAAAAGAACTTATCAACAACAATAAACTATTAGTTAACATATTTGAAGTCTTTTAGACATTAGACATTTTGTTGCAAAATTGCATCTCTTTATGTTTTTTGTAAATACTACCATGGTTGCTATATGGTTACCATGGTTGCTGCACAAGTTAACTATAATCTCTTGACTTATTAACCAAAACACAGTTTTATAACACCCGCCATTCAGCATAGTTACATTCTTTTACTGTAAAATGTTACTTTATGCTCCGAAATATTTTATTAATTTAATTTTTCCCCTGAAATAGCAGTTATAGAAATCTCATTCACAGAATTCATCCTGTCCATGTTTTTCATATAATATCAGTGTTTCACAGGAAGACATGAGATCGCACGTCATTATATGAACAGACAAATGACATTTTGCTTTGACGATTTGACTGCAGCTATTTCAAAAAACATTTCAAAAACGCACTGAATAAAAACGTGAATTATACCTTAGGTGAAATAAATTACATAGAAACTTCTTAAAATTTTTTTTTTTATTAGCGAAACGCTTTTAGATAAAGTAACAATTTACTGATTAAGATTTTTTTTTATATCATTGACAAGTATTATTGACAGTTGTATATAATTTTTTTAATTTACATATTGTATAAATTATTCATGTATGCATTTTTTACAATAAACGTTATTAAAAAATTATTTTGTTTTTATAAACGATGACTTTCTAAGACAACGAAAGTCTCTTTAACAAATTGTAATATAAGATTCATTGAAGTTAATACATTAAAAGATAAAAAAAATTTCGCTAAAAATAAAAGACAAATGTTTTTGAAAGTCGTTACAATTAAATAAGTTTGATCTTTAATGCTTTTATATTATTGAAATGCTTTTTAATGAAGTAACAAAACACTTTTAATGGTTTTTTATTTAAGAATTAATAAACTGTTTTTTTTTTATTATTATTTGTACAATTATATATTTTTTATGAATGTTAATATTTTGAAACAAATAATAAAAAAAAAAACATAGTACAAATGTTAAAACAAAGAATGAAATTATTTTTTAATGCATAATTATTTACTAGATTACATGATATTTTTTAAATTAGTAAAAAAAACACTATAATATAAATAAAGTGTGAGTATTTTAAAAACAATCATTAAAAGTAAATTGTTCTTTTTATTTTTATGGTTTCCGATAATACTATATGAACATTAATAAAGATAAAAAATTATTCCGAACATAATTAAAAACATGATTTAAATAAACTAAGCATTTTAGTTTATTGATTTTTGTTTTAGTTGGGTTTTTTTTTTCTATTTTCTCTTTCATTATTATTATATTTTTTTCCTTTTTAAAGTAAAGTTTTTTTAGGTAAGTTTGAGAAAATTTTTTTAGCGCATTTTCAATTTGTAAAACATG